TGTGCCCCGCCGACGCCGCGCTGCGCGCCGACGGGCGCTCCTGCGCGGCGCCCGGGGAGCACCCGTGCCACGAGCTCTGCGAGCACTTCTGCATCCCCGACGCCGACCAGCCGCACGGCTACTCCTGCTGGTGCGAGGCGGGCTACCGGCTGGCGGCCGACCAGCACCGCTGCGAGGACGTGGACGACTGCGCGCAGGTGCCCAGCCCGTGCCCGCAGCGCTGCGTCAACGCGCAGGGCGGCTTCAAGTGCCACTGCTACCCGGGCTACGACCAGGTGGACGGCGAGTGCGTGAAGGCCGAGGACCCGTGCGCGGGGAACGACTGCGAGTACCAGTGCCAGCCGCTGGGCCGAGCCGGGTTCCGCTGCATCTGCGCGCAGGGCTTCGCGCCCGTCCCGCACAGCCCGCACCAATGCCAGATGTTCTGCAACCAGACCGAGTGCCCGGCCGACTGCGACCCCAACAACCCGGACAGCTGCCAGTGCCCGGACGGCTACATTCTGGACGAGGGCTCCATGTGCAGCGACATCGACGAGTGCGACGATGACATCTGCCCCAACGCGCTCTCCTGCAGAAACCTGCCTGGCACCTACGAGTGCGTCTGCGGGCCCGGCTGGGTGCAGACTGGCGGCGACTGCGACGCCAAGATGACGAGCGAGGGCGAGGGCGAGGGCGAGGGCGAGGGCGAGGGCGAGGGCGAGGGCGGAGACGGCGGCTCTGGGCAGCCCCCGGTGAGCCCCACGCCCGGCGTCACCTCCAGCCCGGCGCCCGCGGGGTCCCTGCACTCTGGCGTACTCCTCGGCATCTCCATCTCCAGCTTGGCCCTGGTGGTGGCGCTCTTGGCGCTCCTCTGCCACCTGCGCAAGAAGCAGGGCTCCGCGCGGGCCGAGCTGGAGTACAAGTGCGGGGTCCCCGCCAAGGAGGTGGTGCTGGAGCACGTGCGGACGGAGCAGGCGCCGCAGAAACTCTAGGGGCCCCCCCGCCGGGGCCTTTCCTTCCCTCCTGCGCCTCGGTCCCCGGCCTCCGCCCCCAGCCTTACTCCTCTGGCTGCCCCCGAAGCACCTTAGCTGGCATCAGAACCGGAGAGGACCCCCACCCCTTCTTTTGCTGACTCCAGGGAATGGCTGGGGAGGAGGCGTTGGAAGGAGGGTGCACCCCAGTTCCTTGGATGATGTCACCAAGCTACTGGGCAGAGATGGCAATTTTAAAATGAAGACGAAGCTTGCAAAGTGCCCCAGGCCCTCCCTAGGACAGGGGGGGACGAGCATTATTGGTCGGTGGCCTTTGGGCAGACAGCCATCCGACCGACTAGTGAGTGTAACTGTGTCATGGATGATGCTAAGATATTTATTTTTTTAAGTATTTAGGACTTTCCTTCTTTTCCTTGTTTCCCTCCCTGTATGTCTTCATAGCCACTTTGAGTCCCCCCCCCCTTCCTGCTCTCTCTATCAGCCTCCCCATCTATGTATTTATATACTCCCAGGTCTCATGTGGGAGTTAAACTGTCTTGGTGACCTTTTTTTTCAGCCTCCCGCCTCTGTGAAGTCAAGCCCCGCTGCCCCGATCCTGCCTCCCGGTTTTCCCTTCCCAGGAACTGAGCCAACCCCCCTGAGTCCCCTTACCTGTGCCTGACCCTACTTGCACTTTTAGCTGTCTGCCTGGGCAGAAATCTTATGCGAAACGGGAACAAAAGCACTAAAAACAAGAGTGGGTGGGCATTTGCTCTTTCACCAGATTTGCTGATTTATCCTGAAGCCTCCTGCTTCCAGAGCCACACCATTTTAACAAAGGTTAAGATGTGAGAAGCGTTTGTTAAATTAATGTTGCTGGACTGTCCTAGAAATTCAACCCAAGGAGTTTTTATTTTCATTTTTTTAAACAGTGAGCCTGGGTTTTATTATTGTTGTTGTTTGGATTTGGACTGAAAGGTAGTAATTGTCAAGCTTTTGTGCAGTTTTCTTTTTCATTATTATTATTGTTGTTTTATTGTTGTTGTTATTAGTTATTTTTAACAGTGCTGAAATGTTCACGTGATTGCTCTGGGCTGAAAGGAAAAAGAAGCGCCTCCCGGGAGAGCGTTTAAGAGAGTTCTGAGTTGCCTGATTCATGCCAGTTATCATTTTGACTCTGTTTTTGTAATTTGTAGGCCAAAATAAAACCAGCTTTACTGTTTTTTGGGCATTTGGGAGTTTGGGGATAGAACCTGGTGGATGCCCAATTTGGGGCCTGGCCTCCATCAGGCCCTTGAGAATTTCTCCCAAGAAATTCACTTGGAGCTTGCTCCCCCAAAGAAATGGGGGCTGTCTTCCCCTTCCCCCAGCAGCTGGTTAGAAATGCAGAAACCTGGGCCCCACCCCACCTATTCTAGGAGAAGCTGTATTTTAACAAGATCTGCAGGGGGGTTATTTGCAGAGAACTGTTCCAGACAGCTTCCGACTTCTGGAATACAGTATATATGGACCCTAATAAGGAGCAGACCAAGTCAGTCCCTTTTTTTACCAAGAAACTGAGGAATTTTAATTTCCAGTAGAAAATACTAGGTACACCCCTTTAGACATCACTAAACAGGGTTTTTGGTTCAACTAAGCTAGGAATGAAATCATGAATGGGAAAAAAAAAAGTGTATCTTTTGGGACATAAAGATTTTTTTCTACTATTTTGTAAACTGAGCATATTTGTACATGGTTATTTATTTATTGGAGATAAACTAGAACACGGGCAAAACCCTTGCTTATGACATCACATGTAGAAAATAAACAAATAACAGCGCGTTCTTGGGTTGTGTGTCTGTCCACCTCCCCTCCCCCAACCCCCAGTTTTACATCATTAAACGGTATTGAACAATGCAGATACCACGAATTGCGTTTAAAGGTTGCTCCATACCCATCACAGGCCTCCATATGCTCATGGCATCATCTCTGACTTGCAAAGATTTTTTTTCAGAGATTGTTTCCACTGTAGAAGGACATGTACACAAATATTTATTTTTTCCCTTCTGTAACCATAACAACTTCATACACAGGACTTGCGTCCATGCATTTTAAAACACATTATAGGATTATTTGTTGGGATGAATTAAAGAAAGGGCGCTTCTTGGGAAATCTCTAGAATCCCAGCTGTGAGCACTTCCCACGTGCTTTGGTGTTATCTGCTCCCTGAGTTACGCAAACAGCCGTCATGAGGGAGTCAGCCTGTGGCTCAAATTCAGTCACTTCCACATAACAAGGTCTTATGGCGTGTTAAATCATTCTCATTTCTGTTGCTGATTGGAAACACTGTCTTTACTGTATGCAAATCTTTTGGGCTGCCTTTTCTGGGTTGGTGGAACTGGCAGAATTTTATATAGTTCTCTGAAAGTTTTCATACAGCAGAAGTTAGGAGAACATTGAATTCAGCAAATGTTTTTATACACCTGGGTAATGCTGAATTCAGTTTTAAACTGAATAGTTATTGTTGTGAAGGCACAGTTGGAGATTTCAATATCCACCTTGGATGAAGTTGATAGTTTGGGCCGGTGGGGGTGAGAGGTGGGTGCTACTAGGAAGAGCACCCTACCAAGATCAGCGGTTGAGCAGTGTTGCCCTGGGAGTTTGGTAGGCTAGCAGGACACCAAATTCAGTAGTAGGTTCATATGAAGGAAGAACTCGCTGGGTGGGGCAAAGTAGGTACCGATGAACTGTGCTGGGGGTCTAGAGGAGAGGGGGTACCTTACAAATTTGTCTGCACTACCCAGCCTTCCATTTTTCTAAAGGATCTGATCCCAAGTAGCTGTCAAATTGTCTTTCAAGGGCCCATTCCTTTANATATCTTAATATTTTTTTAAATTTATCTTTATTGTTGAAAGTATTACAGATACCTCCCTCCCTTTTTTTTCCATTGATCCCCTCCACCCACATCAGTTGCCCCCAGGCCTTTAGCACACTATTGTCTGTGTCCGAGGGTTATGCACTTATGCATATAAATTCTTTGGTTAATCTCTCCCCACCCACACGCCCCCACCTTCCGTCTGAGATTCATCAGTCTGTTCCATGCTTTTATGTCTCTGGATCTATTTTGTTCATCAGTTTATTCTGTTCATTAGATTCCACATATGAGTGAGATCATGTAAAACTGAATCAGGAAGATTTTGTTTTTTTAAGACCCAGAAGCAAGAACTCTTACTGGGGCATCTTGGACTACACAACACTGGTGGGGTGGGGCCCCAGACCCTTCCCTCTCTCCTCACTCCCTGTTCCCTGGGAGATCAGCATCTCTGTTTACAGGCCTCATCTGAACTAAGATTCTCAAAACATTTAAGAAACCACAGCCCCTCTCTGAGAAACACACCAGGAGCATATAAAGAAGCAATTAGCTAAAAGGCCATCCCCCAGCATGCAAAACCGGGGTAGCTCTTATGGAACAGGGGCTGCGAGTCAACCTGTATAGTCTCTGCTTTTTGTTCACACCGTTGGGCATCAGGACTGAAGGGCAATTGCACACCTCAGCGAGGGTACGACTGTCCGTGACACTCCACAGTGGGCAGGGCCTGGGGAGATGCCCAAGGNGAATTGCACACCTCAGCGAGGGTACATGACTGTCCGTGACGCTCCACAGTGGGCAGGGCCTGGGGAGATGCCCAAGGTGGTACTTCCTTCCCCATAAGTCAGAATTTGATTTTNCAATTGCACACCTCAGCGAGGGTACGACTGTCCGTGACACTCCACAGTGGGCAGGGCCTGGGGAGATGCCCAAGGTGGTACTTCCTTCCCCATAAGTCAGAATTTGATTTTATGAGTCAAATGGCTTTTTATTCTTCCCTTTGGACCTGATCTCTTTTCTTGGATTCGTTCGCAAATATTTATTGAGAGGTAGTCTCTTCCTGATGATGACAAGCATGGTGACAAGGCCCTGCCCTGAGAAGCTTACACTCTGGTGGTGTTAAGGAAAGAAATAGAATAGTAGTGTTAGGGGCAGAAATAGGATATTGGGGACTAGTTGTAGTTATAAAAAATATTAATCATGCTCTGTTAACAGTGATTGTTCTGTTCTGATTAGAGAAAGCACTTTCTAACCTGGCTGAGAATTCTTTGCCCGGGGACATGGGAGATAACCTTGGAATGCGGAAGATTCTCCTGTTCTGAGACCTGCCAAGCATCATACAAAGATTAACAGCCTTGTTCCCAAAACAATGGAGTCCAGGAGGCTCGGCCTTTGCAACCCCCAGCCCGCATTGCCTCTGACCTGTTAGCATCATACCTTGCCTACTTCCCCATGCCTGTAATTCCTGCTTTTCCATGTAATCTTTGTCCTTCTACCCAATATAAGCAGCTGGCTTATGGGGAGCTGTAGAGCAGGTTTTATGTGGATGACCCCCTGCTCTCCCATACTACAGGTATTATTGGAATAAACGCTCATATGCGATTCAACCCTGTCTCTGCTTGATTGGCTCAAGTAGTGCAGGCAGCCTGGACCCATTCATTGTCTGGTTTCAGTCGGGGAGAGAGACATAAAAAAAAATGATCGCCCCCAAATAACATGTAACTTAGAAACAGCGATAAGAGCTGGGGAAGAGAAACATAGCACAGCAGGGAATCAGGATTTAGACTAGAGGAGTAGAAACTGTCCTTGATGAGCTGACCTTAAGGCTAGACCTTAAGGAGGAGCAGGGCTTAGTCAAATGCAGAGGGAAGGGGAGAACAGTCCAGGCAGAAGGAACAGCATGTGCAAACGCCCTGCATTTGGAAGAGTCTTGGCAGAGGGCGTGGAGCACAGTGAGCAAGGAGGAAGGTGGCCAAGATAAGGCTGCAGAGGTGGAAATGGAGACGTAAAAGCGAGAGGGGGAGGGCTGACTGTAGGCCAGTGTAAAGATGTTGACTTCGAGGAGTTTTAGTAAGAATACGCTGCTGTTTGATTTGTAAAGTGAGATTGTTTGGAAAAGTAATAATTCTAGACTTTTTTACATGTCGCCATGGGCAGACAGCTGCACAGTTTCCCTTGTAAGCATAAATGTGTGTGTCACATACACCTAGATTTGACACCTGGTGGTCCCATGACCATGAGAATCATGAAACCCCTCTAAGGCTATAAAAATAGGTGCTAGCAATGCCACCTCACAGGGTTTCCTTGAAGATTAGAGGAGATGAGCTAAAGCAGATTCTGGCGCACAGCAGGTGCCCAATAAATGTTAGCTTATGTCACTAAATTAGTGGATGCATAGATGAAGAAAAAGGTTATGTTGAGATATTGAGGGCCTTGAGGGCAAGTTCAAGGTAGTGCAGAAGGAAGAAAGTATTGTCTCAAGGCAAGGTGCAGTCACTTAGAATGAATGTTGTCAATCCTAGAGCAAGATGATAGGATTTGGGGCATCAAACAGAGCTTAAAAAGGTATATATTTGCACAGGGGGAAGAAGTGGCCCCCAGAGCTGTAAAATCCTGCTTCCAAGGTCTATTGACCCTGCTCAAAGGCCCAACAAAAGATGGGGTGCAGAGATAACCTCTATTGTATTCCCAGGGAGGCCACAGAGAAGGGGAGAACACACCCTAAAGTGCTCTGCTTGTTTTCTTGGGACTGAAAGGAGAAAGAAAATTGGCTCCAGCCCAGACAGAACCCAGGGCTGCTGGGGAGCAGACACCTCTGCACTCTCCCACTCACCCTCAGCTGCCGCGTGGGACCCTCAAGTTTAGTGACACCAAAGAGGAACCTGCAAAAGAGAAAAGAAACATCAATTCAAGATGATGCACAGGCCCAGTGGTGCACGGACTCTCGCAGTGGGACTTTGGAGCAAATTCTAACCTTTCTCAGCTGTCTACCAACTGAGGCATTGCAAGTGGGTGGTGGGTCTGGGCACCAACCCCTTACCCCCCATGCCACCCAGGGAAGTCACAGACACCTCCATGGCTCATTCCCTTGAGCACATTTCCCCTAGTGCACACCAGACACTGCACTCTCAGAAACAGAAGCTGCTGCCATCTTCACCTCCCCAGGGAAAGTGGCATTGTCAGCTAAAGGGCAGGGTCTTCTGGAACTCTCAGTCAGGATAATGTACACACGTTTGCTCCTCTGTCGCTTTCTCTGTGTAGGAAAGAGGAACCTAAGAGTCAAGTAGAGACAGCTCATTGATGAGAGACTAGAAACATTAGGTCTGCAGGCCCAGGAAGTGCTGGCTATTAGGACCAGGCCCCTGAAGGAGCTGGCTAGGCCTAAACACTGCCTATTAAACTTTATTTTATTTTATTTTTTAAATCCTCACCTGAGGATATTTTTTCCACTGCTTTTCAGAGACAGTGGGAGGGAGAGAGAGAGAGAAACATTGATGTGAGAGACACATTGATTGGCTGCCTCCCACACGTGCCCTGACCAGGGCTGGGGATAGAGCCTGTAACTGAGGTAAGTGCCCTCGACCAGAACTGAACCCTGGACCCTTCAGTCCACGGGCCGATGCTCTAACCACTGAACCAAACAGGCTAGGGCATATTTTATTTCTTTTTTAAAATTTTGATATAACTGACATATAATAAAACTTGCTCCTTTTAGTAAACAGTTCCTGGAGGACCACATACTCTCGTGAAACCACTGCCATCATCAATATATAGGACATTTCATCACAATAGAAAGTTCCTGGCCCCTCCCCCTTTGCTTCCCTTGGAGTGGTCTACACACAAAATGAAACATTTTTCCTCCTCGAACCTGCTATGTCCCACCCTCCTTCAGGATCTCCTCACACCAAGAATCCTGCTTTCGTATTTGAATCACAAAGATAAGCTTTTCTAAGCAATCCTGAAAGGCTGACTTTTTTTTACTTTCAACAAACAGGTTTTGATGAAACTCAGCTCATATGTCTCCCAGTACCCTACTCAGTATTCACCCTGAGTTCTGGACTTGATCTGCCAAAAATCCTGGCAGCCACCAGAAGTGTGCAAAGAAGGGAAAAAATGAGAACTGCAAACCACCGCATCACGCAACTTCGGGGGGAGTGGGAACTTGAGTGGGGCACGTGCAAAGGAAACGAGGGCAGTGCCCACAGGCAATCCCATGGGGCAAACCACTGAGCTCCTTCCCGAGGCTCCCGAGTGATCCTGTGGATGCATCAAGGCCAGGGACAGAGGGTTCCCAAGTTCCAACTTCTGGGGACTCCCGTGTTAAATAGGGGTTAATTATTATAGCATTTTTTCAGGAAAAACTGAGATTACAAAGAACATATAAAAGCACATTTTCACCCTAGTCATGGCTTGGTGGGGGGTCTCCAGGCTTCTCTGAAAATACAGCCCCTCACCTATTCAGGCATTTCTTCATAAAATATTACAGGCAATGCCACCTCTCCCTTCCTTCCTTCCTTCCTTCCTTCCTTCCTTCCTTCCTTCCTTCCTTCCTTCCTTCCTTCCTTCCTTCCTTCCTTAGAATACATGCTTGGGTTCAGTGCTCCCTCTTTTTGTTTTGAGAGGCACTTTTCTCCCTTCTTTTGTCAGCAGTTTCGGATGTAGGCAAACAACTGGTTCCCTCTCCTAAGAGAAAGGAAGTGTTGTTCTAACAGATCAAAATTCTTTTAGGAGTGTTTTGAAAGTGTGAGTGAGAAAGACAAAAGCCCCCTAGGGTGCTCTGTTCCAAGTCAAGCCTCTGGATTTGGGGATCAAACAGCAGAAGGGTTTCAGAGATCCAGTGACAAACACCAAGGCTCTAACCTGGGGTCCATGAGGACAATGACTTCCCCCTGAGGGGACACACAGTTAGCCCTCTGAGAGTCACCTTGAGCTAGTGCTGGACGGAGCTCCTGATTTTTCAGGCAGAACTGTGAGGACCCTGGGGTTCAATCACTTGCCTAGGTCACATGACACCTGTATCTGGGACCAGAAGTCATGTCTCCTGCTAGTTTCCCATATACCAGGCACGTGTGCACAGCTGGTAAAGCCTGACCCTGGCCGGAGGACTTCAGGGAGGGTCTCACTCCGCCTCGCCCCCTCTCAGAGAGGAGCCCTGCCCCACAGTGTGGTCAGTGTGCCCTGGGCTGCCCTCCCGGCCTGCCTTTAAGAGCTTCAGCCTCCCAGCAGCTCCCCTGTGCCCGACTTGGCCTGACCAGTGGCTGCTTGAGAGGCCCTACCTCCAGCCCACAGCCCACAGGTCCGGGACGCTGTCTCTCGAAGGCCCCTGCCAGGAAGTGTGGGCTCTAGAAGCTGGTGACTAGGGAGAGAGGGACCAGGGACACTGCTTTAGTGCAGACTCAGCCGGCAAACACGTTGCATACCTGCTGTCATCATCTTTAGCAGCCTCTTCAGAAATCTTATAAATCGCTTATTAAAAAGAGTCATCAAATGTGACTCAAATAACTTCAGCAGAAAACAGTCACCCAATTAAGTCATTTAATTATATGGTCTGCGTTTTCTGAAAATTCAAAAAATGGGGTTGCGCCATCCTGCTGGGTGTGTTCAGAGCCGCACTCCACAGCGTCTTTCCTTGCTATCGGCCCGCTGGGTTTCTGCTCCTTGGAAGTTGCCAGAATCACTTGTATTGTCATTGAAATGCACTGTTTATGTAAATTCTACGCAGAAAAACAAAAAAGCAATGGAAAAGCCAACCCAGCAGCCGGGGAAGAGGCAGCCCAGTGAGGATTAACGGGAGAAAGCGGTGGAGTTCTGAAAACCAAGGTCTGTCGCAACAGATCCCGCCGGCGGAAGCTGTCCTTCAAGACTGTCCCAGTCCCGTTTGGCTGAATGTGAACGGAGGAGCCAGAATGGGCAGGTTGGGTCCTCTTCAGGGCCTTTGTCCCCTTCATCCACGGAACCCTCCCAGCTTTCTAATCGCTGGCCTCAGAAAACAAGAGGCTCCCAGTGTGTGAACCTGTACTTCAGCTTCGGATGGATTTCCTTCCTTCCTGCGATTTTATGGATTTATTCCCTCATAATGAAATGGAAGACCCGTCAAAAGAGAGAAGCCCAGTGAAAGTTCGTTGAGCACAAAGCAGAGGGTAAGAAACGGCCAGTCGTGCACACTTGGTCAACACTAGCCTCTAGATCGGAAAATGTCAAAAACCAACATTGGACAGGGAAGTCTGGGTAAGGGGAGTGGGGCCGACTTCCTCTGCCCCTGGAAATACTGGGGCCCATCTGCCTCCTTGCCCTGCGTCCCATAACTGAAGAGGCCTGCCCTGCAGTTACCCTGTTAACCACTTCCCAGGCTGGGGGATCAGCTGTCTTCAAGCAGTTCGGCCTCAGACACTGAGCACGGAGTCTGCCTGCCTCCAGGGGGATGGACTCGTGCTTCACCCTTGTATTCCAGACCCCACATCACTGTCTGTCTGTGACTTTTCTCTCTGCTCTGTGGTGCCGCCCTGGCACTTACAACTTGGCTGCTCCGACAGTGGCTTCCTACAGGGCTGGGTTCTTAAACAATTACCCATTCATTCATTCATCTAAGCTTTTTACTAGCTCCAGACATTGGATTAAGCATTTTAAGAGATCCTGGGATAGCTCACGATCCACTGCGGGTGGGAGAGAGGCAGGTAAGTGAAGAATTCTTCCGATGTACGAGAACCAGATGGAGGCTGGATTAAGGCTCAGGGAGCATGGACGAAGGACCTCCTTCAGCGTGGAGGCCCTGGGAAGACTTTACAAGGGTAGGGAGCTTGAGGTCGCGCTCAGGCTTCTCTACATCAGAGAAGGCGTGGCAGAGGTGGAATCAGGGGGCTTGTGTGTGGGAAAGCAACCCGAACACCTCCAGGCTAGAGCAGAGGGCGCCCCTCTCTTGTCTGTTCGAGTCCCTGATGGCGCTTTGATGGGGTTTAACTCATTGAGAACATTTCTCTTCATCGCTTAGGAAGCTAGAGTTCGATTCTGGGTGGTGTCTGTACTGGAGGACATTTGACCGCTGACACTGCCTGAATAGTTTAGAATGACTAGGAAAGGAGTCCTGGAGCCCCGTTTAGAGGGGAGGGAGGCATATTCAAGGTTCACATGTGTGCTCTTTTCAGCCAGCCCTCTAGCAGCTGGGCGGGGGGCATCTTCAAAGCAGCATCTGGAGCAGCCATGGGAGACTTGTTTTCATAGCATTAGGAGCAATTACACCAGCAAGTTCCAGCTCTTCTGTTTTAGTAACACAGTTTATGCTGAAAATCAATATTTACTGAGTGATGACTTGACCCTTCATCACGCAGAGAGCCCCGAGACTGGAGCTGTCCCGTCCCTCTAGAACAGCGTTTCTCGGGATGGCTTAGGGTGCGTGGTCAGATTTGGGCCCTGCAGTCGCCCCTGACTTGAGACCTCTGGGGTGGGGTGGGAAGTTTTAACACACTAGCCAGATGATGCTAACGAACACCCCCCCCCCCATCT